CTAAAACAAAGGGAAAACGGGCTAAAATCGAAAGCAACCTGAGAGAGAAGATTTTGGGAGGTGCGGGAAGGGAATAAGACTTGGCCTCCTATTTATAGCCGTTTTTTGGGTGGATGACAAGCAAAATGGGCGCACGTCACACATTTTAAGGCTATGTCTCCCCAACCACTTTGTGTCACGTGTCGGCCTCTCCGAGGTGCATATCGCAGATTTTGTAAATTCAATAACTTTTTCATACGAACTCCGTTTTCAATTTTGTTTTTATCCCTGAAAAGCTCTTGAAATGATCTATAACTTTCATTTAGACTCCATCAATTGATTCTGACTTTATTTTCGTCCCTATTTTTATAAGATTAAATGATTTTGCTAAAATCATAACTCTTTCGTACAAACTCCGTTTTTGGATTCTTTTTCCCAAAACTCTTATCTTAAAGAGTACCACAATTGTCCTTTTGGTGACTTTAGTTAAAAGTCAACAATTCGCTTCATAGCTTTTAACGTCACACATTATTTGTGCGCGACCGACTTTTATATTTTATAAAAATCATATCTAATTTATACGGAGTTGAATTTCTACGAAATTTATATTTTCGGGATCGAGACGACATGTAATATATATATATATATATATATATATATATATATATATATATATATATATATATATATATATATATATATATATATATGTTTTGGCGCACTTATTTTTACGATTTACGGACGATTCAGTTGATTTTTTTTTCTTAATACAAAACTTATATTATATCTTAAATGTTTAACCTGATTTTGCAGGCGTTACATTATCCCTTAAATTCCAAATGTTATAATTTCAAATTTTAATCTTCCAAACTTTTAAATTAACAAATAATATGATTAATTTATGTTAGTTTAGTTATTTTATCTATTTATTGATATTTTAATTTATAAAATTTGTATTTATTACAAAATAAATTTTATAGCCCTAAATTTACAAACACCTACACACAAATTGATTGATGGTTAGGGTTAATGTTACTGTTCATGTAACACCCCGTTTATTTATTTAATAAATAAATAAATTACTGAAGGAATAGTAGCCTAAAATTCATAATAATTGAGCAAAGTGTTGGCCTCGAGGAGTTAAAAGTCATAATTATAGAAGTTGGGGGTTAAAATGTAATTTTCAGATTAAATTGTATAGAAGTTTGAGGGTTGAGGTCCGTTTGGTAATTATTAGGACGTAATATGTAAGGGATTTCAGAGTTAGGGACTTAATGGTAAATATTGGATTAAAATGGTAACTTATGGACTGATTGTGAAAGAATCTTGGATGTTGGGGGGGCTGCTTTGTAAAATATGGCCTAATATTGAAAGGAAATCGGATGGGAGGGACCTATCTTGCCATTATGGCAAACTTATAAGTGGAGTCGGGTATAAAGGTTTGAGGAACCCTAACCCTATCGACCATTTTATGCAGCCGCCACCTTCACCTTATACCTCCCATCCCCGGCGCCACCCTCCTCCTCCCTTCCGACGTCGCGCCACCTACTTCCCTCTCGCTCTCCGGCAGATGAAGTGCCGAACGACCGCCGCTGAAAGCGTGAGCCACCACCGCCATGTGAGGCCTCATCCGCCACCCGCAGCTTGCCATCAGAACGCCACCAACCCTACTGCCGCCGAAAAAGTCGCAGATAGCTTAGATCATCGCGTGGGTCGCCGGAAAGCCTATATGCGAGGCTGTTACTGCTGTGCTCGGTGGGTTTCGCACCATCACCTCCCTTCCCCATTCCTTTCCAAGCACCGCTGCTGCTGCCGACTGTTGCTCTACTCCTGTCACCGCTCACCGCAGATGGGTTATTCGAATCGTTGTCCGAGCAAGGACTTGCTGGTGGGTGTTGCTGCTTGACGGGTATCGGAAAGAAACCGCCGCCACCACCGTGAGGTGGTGGTTGTCATCGCAATCCACCGTTATGTCGCCGTTGTGTTGTCGTTGCCATCACAAATCGCCGCCCACCGCCTCCAGATTGATGATGGTTCGGGAACCTGTCAACCAGCACCGGAGTTTTATCTACGGGACTTCAGCAGTGCCAGGTGAGTCTTCTCACTATATCCATGGGTCTAAGACACCAAGGCTGGCCCATTATGTGATTATGATATATGTGTTAGTCATTCTGTGATTTGATATACTAGTCGATTATATGATTTATGCTATGTTATGATATTTGTTATGTGATATTTGCATGAAAGACCATGGGGGGGAGCCCATGACACTTGGATGTAAGACCATGTGGGGGAGCCCATGGCTGTCCGACAGGGAAAGACCATGGGGGGAGCCCATGACACTTGGATGTAAGACCATGTGGGGGAGCCCATGGCTGTCCGGCAGGGAAAAACCATGGGGGGAGCCCATGACACTTATGTGTAAGACCATGTGGGGGAGCCCATGACATCCTTATGCAGGGATACGTGGTAGAGATAGCTTTTGTAGCTAATATTTTATGTAGTAGAGATAACTTTTGTATCTAACATGATATGTGGTAGAGATAGCTTTTGTAGCTAATGTGTTATGTGGTAGAGATAGCTTTTGTAGCTAATGTGTTATGTGGTAAAGATTGCTTTTATAGCTAATATGATATGTGGTATGTGGTAGAGATAACTTTTAAAGCTAATATGTTATGTGATATATGGATTGTTTGTGGGGTATGCTCTGGGGGGCTCACTAAGCTTTGTGCTTACGGTTTACAGTTTTGGTTTCAAGTTTCATCGATTTGGAAATGAAGGGCTCGGATTGATCGCAGTGCACACACCTATGATTTTCGCAATGATTGATTTTGGGATGAACTCTGATAACTGTTTTACTTAATGATGACTTGAGGGGTTTGAAATAAATGGTATCAATGTTTTAGCTATATTAAAAATGAAATTTTTACCCTTAATTTTTGGGTCGTTACAGTTCACCGATGAACTTTTGAGTTTGGTTTTATTTGGTCATTGAAGGGTTTTTTTTATAGACCCATAAAGGGGAACACCGGTTAGACACTGTCCATCTGACTTATTTATTTTTCATAAAAAGATAACAATCAATAATTATTATTACGTGGTTTTTTATTTTATTAAAAGATTATGGGAAGCTATGTGTTCTGTTTTTCACCTACCTAGTACGTCTTGTGTTTTTACCCTCTGAATTGGGTCGCATCCCCAAAGGAAGAACTCGTACGTGTTCTCCACTAACTACAAAGGAAAGAAAAATCGCAACCCACCACCTCCTTCACCCTTTGAATTGATGGCTGTCAAAAGAATAAGAATGGAGGGATTCTTCCATTCTCACACATGTAATGAAATGATAATGAACAAGGGCTTCTCTTCTTGAATCGATGGATAGGTTTGGTCTCGGTTTCTACATCTCTAAAGTCGACTATCAAATAATACAAAGTCGTAATTTGAGATTAGTGGTGGTGGAGTGCGTTCATTGATAATGAACACAAAAAAACTTCGAGTTCATATTTTTGCTTCGATTTAAGACTATGAACACAAAAAAGCTTCGATTTCATATTTTTGCTTCGATTTAAGACTATGAACACAAATTAGGTGAAGTCGAATGGTAGATCTTAGGTTGTAGAAACCACTGTCAGTGTATACGTTGAACGAGAGAAATTAGATAATCAATCACAATAATATGAATAGATCTGTCGGTTTCCCTTACTGTGTGGGGAGTATTCGTCAAGTAGCCATGATGTGGCAAACTAACATAGGAACAATTCTTACAAACAAAAACGTAGTTACGGTGGTTAGCTTCAATTGTAACGTAGTGAAGGAAGTCATCAAACATGCTCGTAATCACAATTGAAATGTTTATGTGCAATTTAATGGTGTCAGATATGCAAAAACAATTTACTAGCATCAAATGTGCATACCAAAGTGTTACCCATTGCAAAGGAAAAGAAACAGTAACATGAACTTAAACATTTGGCATGTTTTTCAAGTGAATAATCTGTTGATTGACTCTAAAGATTTGTAGTTAATGAATTTGAAACAAATAATAGGTATATGTTAAAGTTTGAGGAAATTAGAAAGCATTTAGATATACTGGAGCATCAGAAATGAACTCAATGGATCCATTGGGATTCTATGTAACAGCCTGTGGCTAATTTTACACGTGAACATTATGTGGCCTAAGTTGGGCTACATAACCATTCCATTAGATCTCTTAACCGGTACAACCGGATAAAATGGGGGATGTTCCCTTATTTAACAAGTAGATTTTGAGTTTAAGGAGCTATAATGCTAAAAAAAAACTTAAGTGACTATTTAAAATCAAAGTGGAAAGTTTATAGGTGAATAATGACATTAACCTTTTTGGTTGCGGTGGCCAACAATTAGGTTAGAGAAGAGAGGGGGAGAAAAAGATGTAGGGTTTAGGGTGGCAAGGGTGGCAGACCAAATCTGTTATGGAAAAGGTGTTTGCGGACCATATTTGTAGCGGGATATGGTGGGGGTGAAACAAATGTTTTCTCCGATGACGTTTTCGGTTTTTCCAGATTCTGTCCCTAACTTTTTCTTACGACTGTATGGTGGTTGTGGCTATTGGAGAGGAAAACAAAAATGAGCGGTGGTTGGTGATGTTGTTTTCAAAACCTTCAAGCCGATAGTAATGGGTGGTTAGTAGTGTTTAGTTTCACCGTTGATGATAATGGAAGAGACGAGAGAGTAGTCTCTATCTATGGCCTAATGCAAACTGTGATGAAAGGAATTAAAATAAGAGATAGTGCAGGGGAGATTGAGTTTAAGTTTAATTTTTTTTGTTGAATTTTTTAGTTCAAATATAAAAAAATCTAAACAATAATATAGACATTTTACCCGATTAAATAACCAACCGCACAAAAATTAAAATCGTAAAGACCAATCACCTAATCGTCTTTCATAGTTATTCTTAAACATGTTCTATCGGGACTAATGACATAATTTTGTGTATAATCAAAATTTAAATATAAAAACACAAAAAAGGTAAAAATATTTTAGCCAATAAAAAACAGGGGGTTTACTCCACACCTAATCCGTACCTCCATTCCCAAAACTCCTCTCATTTCCATACCTGGGGTTTATAGTATCGTCAATGGAGTTGTAGACAAATCCTAATTTCTAGGGTTTTTATCAAGGAGAGCTTTTCAAATTCATACCAAAATCGTTGCTCAAGGACACTGCAAATGTCGTTCTTGACATTGAAAACTCCATTTATATCTTCACATTCTTCTTCATCATCTTCTGTTCTCGCATCATGTCAAAGTAATCAGCTCCTGCGATTGTGTTCTTCTTCGTCACTTTACGTTGCTAGAAAGCGGACGTTTAGTCGAGGGAAGTTAAGATGGAGAGCTGAATCTCAACAACAGGATTCTTCGCAAAACAGCAACAGTAGTGATTCAAAACAACCCAACGGTTCCGTGGTAAAAACAATAGAATTCTCCTTTAGTTTCGGAAATAGTTTTCGTGTTAGCTGGTAGCAAGTAGCAATCAGTTACTGCATAGTACTTTTACTCGAATTGTATATAATTATGATTTTCGAGGTCAAACTAATTGCTTATGAAGTCGAAATCTGGTATGCATTTCTTACATATACTATTGTGCAGAGCAGCAGAACAAATTTTCTGTAATTTCTTACAGATATGAGATCAGATTGCTGTGTAAGATTCAAAAAGTCCATATAAGTTTGGAAAAAAAATATTGTTGTAAAAGAGAGAAAGTTCTCGATTGGGAAGAAATCAATTCTAATTTAAGAGTCACATGTACTCATTGAATAATTGTTACTTTGTGGAAATTATAATTCGTGAGCAAAACAAATGGGAAGAAAAGCACGTGAAGATACTTTCTAAGCTAGTGAAAACTGAAATGTTATAAATGCTTGAAAAATCTGGTGCCCTTTATGATTTCTCCTTATGCTTTTCAGTAAGTAATATGTGGGTGGGGTGGAAGATGTTATGAGATGTTTGCTTTAATGGTAAGACATGGGCTTTTGGGGCATATCATCTTACTTTATTTCTTGTAATATTGCAAAGTTACCATTATGAAAAATAAAGGCTGATGCCACAAACTTTTATGATGTCTGAGCTATGATGACCTGTTTGACTTACTTACCCTAAATCCCAAATAGTTAAGTCATTTACTTAGATCCATTGTTGACTTAGGTATCATTTTTTTTGACTTAACAGACTTACAGGAGATAGAACTTAATCCAATAAGCTATATATGAGTTTCTTCTGCTTTGTTTATAGTTCATTGTTTTTGTGGTGCTTCTGTCTCTTCCATTTTGATTTCCATTTCTGATTTCTGAACAGAACATCATGATTCATGGCCTAGCAGAACCTTGATTATATTTCATTTTAACTTCTAAGAGAATTTTACTTTTAAATAAAGGTTCTTCATGCTGATATTGATCATGAACTTGTATTTTCTTGACTGTTTATTGAATCCACAGACAAGCAGGAGGGATATTCTATTGGAGTATGTGAAAAATGTTCAGCCAGAGTTTATGGAGTTGTTTGTTAAAAGAGCTCCACAGCAGGTAATCTGTTTTCCCTGTATTGTATTGCCTGTGTTTTATAAAGGGATAAATGCAAGAGATATCAACATACTTTCATTTATATGTGTATTATAGCAGATTAGCATCCTAATTTATCTATTACAGCATTATACGTTCAGTTTTTGTAAATTGCTTTGATTGGATGAGATTGCTATAATTTAGTTGATTTTCATGATAAGAAAAAATGAAAGCAAGATGCTATAATAAGAAAATTAATGCAAATACATTGTAATTTTCTTGCATTTAACCCTTTTGTATAGTATATACAAGGCATCCTTGTTAATCTTATTTGTGTTAGGTTGTAGATGCCATGCGCCAAACTGTAACAAACATGATCGGGACACTACCCCCTCAGTTTTTTGCTGTAACTGTTACAACTGTAAGTATAAAAAGTTCATACATTTAGGTAATGGCGAAATCTTTTTCTTCTTATTTGTTAAAATCATGAAGTCTTTTATACCCTGTTCCCTTTTTTCCCACTAAATTCTATCTCAAAAGCTAGGGTTATGATTCTTGTAATTCATTCTTTTTCTAGCCCAATCTTTCAATTTTTTTCTATCAATTGAATTTCAGTATCAGGGTACAAGTACAACATCTTTTTGCATCAAGTTAAATAAGAAACACCTTTTACATCAAGTAAATAAGAAACATCTTTTTGCATCAAGTAAATAAGAAACATCCTTTTTTTTTTTGCATCAACTAAATAGGAAACATTTTTTTTTTTTTTTTTTTTTTTTTTTGCATCAAGTAAATAAGAAACATCTTTTTGCATCAAGTAAATAAGAAACATCCTTTTTTTTGCATCAACTAAATAAGAAACACCTTTTTACATCAAGTAAATAGGAAACATCTTTTTTTTTCTTTTTTTTTTCCATCAAGTAAATAAGAAACACCTTTTTGCATCAACTAAATAGGAAACTTTTTTTTTTTTTTTTTTTTTGCATCAAGTAAATAAGAAACATCTTTTTTCATCAAGTAAATAAGAAACATCTTTTTTTCATCAAGTAAATAATAAACATCTTTTTTTTTTTTTAATAAAGTAAATAATAAACACCTTTTTGCATCAAGTAAATAATAAACACCTTTTTGCATCAAGTAAAAGGGAACATCTTTTTGCAGCATTAAAAAAGAAACATCTTTTTACATTCAAGTAAAAAGAAACATCTTTTTTACATTCAGTAAAAAATAAAAAGCAAGAGCTTACACTGTGTTGTATTGTATTGTTAATAGGTTGCTGAGAATCTAGCACAGCTCATGTACAGCGTATTGATGACTGGATATATGTTCAGAAATGCACAATATCGGTTAGAATTACAACAAAGTTTGGAGCAAGTTGCACTCCCTGATACATCATCACAAGAGAGAAAGGTTCTTTATTATTATTTTTTTTAAAATATTAATTTCATGATATCAATCGTTGCCATTCTTTTCTCTCTTTACCAATTAATTGTTTTTTTATATCTTTTGGGCCAATAGAAACATGATCTCTTAGAATAGAACTAAACATAGTAATGAGTAATGACATTCTTTTTTATTGTTGCATTGCATTGATTGTACAATTTTACAGGATGCAGCAGATTTTGCACCAGGGACACAGAAGAAGGTGAGTGGGGAAGTTATCAGGTGGAATAATGTTTCGGGTCCTGAGAAAATAGATGCAATCAAATACATTGAGTTACTTGAAGCTGAAGTTGAGGAACTCAATCGTCAGGTAGAAAGAATATCTGCAAATGGATCAAATGAATTGTTGGATTATCTCAAGTCCCTTGAGCCCCAAAATCTTAAGGTTAGCAACTTAATGCCTTCAATAACAAACAATCTACTTTCATATATTTCTTTCCATTTCAACATAGTACTTTCAGTTTTATTCTTATTAAGGCATTGTACTTCCAGTTTTTATGCTTTGTATTTAGATGGCATTGCTATAATTGGTTATGTTTTTTAAAGCACAATGTTGTAATAGGAAAAAATGAAAGTAAGATGTTATAATAAACAAATAAATGAAAGTACATTGCTATTTCTTGCATTTGTCAATTGGTTAATAAAGTGCTAATCACATTTCCACCAAGCTTAATGGCTTCAGATTGATTAATCAATGACAATGAATGATTAAAGAATGTGATTCTTTATAGATTCTTGGCTTACATTCAACCCTAAATCTAATTATTCTTAAGTTTTCTCTCTCAACTTGCTATTCCTATATATAATATAATGCCTTGTTTTTTTTTTTCCATTGAGTACACAAGTCTTGATAAAGTGTTGTTTGTATAAATGATAAACAAGGAGAATTTTGTAAACAACTAGGACTTAAATAATGGGTGAAAATCCTCTCTCTCTGTATCAAGTCATTCTTTGTGCATTAAGTCAAAAGAAAACATTTAATCTGTAGGCTATAGCTTACTAGATTAAGTTGTGTCCCCAACCCATTAAGTCTGATACTATTAATTAATGTGTGTAGTATAAATATAAATGAGTAAATTATACGAATGGTCCCTATGGTTTGGGGTAATTTGCACGCTTGGTCCCTAACTTATTTTTTTAACTCGGAAGGTCCCTACTATTTGTTTTTGTTACGCGCTTGGTCCCTACTGTTTGTTTTTGTTACGCGTTTGGTTTCTGTCTTACCAAAAAAGACTATTATTTAAATATGGAAAAATGGTGGGGTAGGTAAGGTAAGATGAGGGAGGTGGGGTTGGGGGTGTGTTTATTCAAATAAATTAAAAAATCAAGGGCAAAATAGTTTTTTTAGTTAAGACAGGTACCAAACGTGTAACAAAAACAAACAATAGGGACCTTCCGAGTTAAAAAAATAAGTTAGAGACCAAACACGTAAATTATCCCAAACCATAGTGACCATTCATGTAATTTACTCTATAAATATAAATATAAGTAAATGATATAATGCAGGATTTGACAAGTAGTGCTGGGGAGGATGTTGTGGTTGCCATGAACACATTCATAAAACGTCTGTTGGCTGTTTCAGATCCTACTCAAATGAAGGTTAGCATGATATGATGTTTAATGTTTCCTATTTACCATTTGAAGCTAATATATATATATATATATATATATATATATATATATATTCCCATGAATGTGGCCCATTTTAGAAGCTAATACAATCATATATTTGGTTCTATACTTGAAGTACATAATATGCATAGTTAAAAACCATTCTTTACCGATAAATAATAAATAATCTACATTGCCTATATTTTTAGTAAAATGTAAGTATGTTGCTATCATGGATTATAAAACATGGAAATGTTAGTATGAGTTAAAAAATAAATAAAATCCTTTATAAATTGGCAGACTAGTGTGACAGAAACGAGTGCCCCGGAACTTGCGAAGCTGCTTTATTGGTTAATGGTGGTGGGATACAGCATACGTAACATTGAAGTTCGTTTTGATATGGAACGAGTTCTTGGAAGTCCACCTAAGCGTCAAGAACTACCTCCGGCTGAAAACATCTAATAATAATAACTCCTTTGACTTATTCAACCCACCCAAGATTTTTCGCATTTTATAAAAAAACCGAAAATGGTAGGTGGGTAAGGAAGGAACTGCCTTAAGTTTTGTTGTTGGAGTATTGTAACTTTTTAGGGTATTTCTTATTTTTATATTAGGAGATAACATTTCATTCTTAAGGTTGCATGATTGTATCCCGTAGCTATATGCCTATGCCAATTCAAAGCTCCTTTATATTTTCTTTTGCATCTATTCTCTCACCTGACCATTGTTATTTTGGTGGTGTTGAGGGTCCGTTCGTTTATTAGCTCAACCAGGCAAATTAGATTCAACACATCGTACTTGCACCTTTTTTTTTTTTTAATGAAGGGAAGGAAAATAGAAGTGATTAATTGTGTGTTCTTGAGTTGGATGGAAATGGGTGATCGCAAGTTACAAGGAAAGGGAAGGAAATCAACATTTTTACATTTATGCCCTTCTTTGGAAGGAAAGGAGACTTGTTGTAGGGTCAAACATTTTTACATTTCTACTTTATTTTTCCTTCCCTTCCCTTTCTTTCCTTAAAAAAACTCAACAACACGTTCACTAAGATTTCCCTAGTTTCCCCTTCCCTTATTGTGTTTGACATACATTGAACCATTGTGTTGCTGAGATTTGCTGATGCCATGTAATTTTTTGTCCACCGAAAAAAAGTCGAAAAAGGAGGCATAGGGATTGCTCTCAATTGCTAGTTTGTCCGAACAAAGCCTTTTCATTCTCATCATTGAAAATAAACTTAAAATGTTTGTTGTGTTATATCGTCTAGTGTAACAAACAAAGCCTTACGATTATGGTCTTGTGACTTAAAAGATGGTTGTTTACTCTATGTTCTGTCACTTATTGCATGGTTTGACATAAATTTTGGGTTAAAAGCAAGAAATAACAATGTATTTTCATTGATTTGATTATTGTAACATCTTGCTTTTATTTCTTCCTATTACAACATTGTATTTTTAAAAATCTACCTAATTATTGCATTGTTATCCAAATACAAAACAATTCTCATTGCTAAATTTTTCTACGCATAATGTTCTAGACTTCTAGTAAGAAATAAGCTGAAAGTACAATGTCTTAATAAATAAATAAAAAAAATGATAAATACAATGTCGAAATAGAAAGAAATAAAAGTATGATGTTGTAATACAAAAATAAATGTAAGTATGTTGCCATTTCTTGGCATTAAGTTGGAGAATGTGACAAATGAAATTGAGTTGTAGTGGATATTTGTGGTGAAATAAACGTTGTGTTTGAATTGTAAGTGAGTTTGTGGTGTAATAAACGTTGGAAAATAAGTTTTTTCTTAAGGATTAAGATATTATTATGTATATAAAGAATCCTTAAAACTAGGTCTCCATTTAATTCATGAAGCACAATAAAAAGCGAACTAATTAGTTGGAAAGTACGAGGAAAGCAAGGAGGGGTAAGCATATATGGAAGCAAGTCAACATTTTAAATGTCGATATATATAAAGTTATTGGAATTTAGCATAGAAGAAAGGTGAGTTTTATATTTATTTTGTGAAACCGAGATGCATGCAAATTATAATTTAATAATTTATAAATACATGTTTGTAGAATTGTATAAAATAACCAACTTTATGTTCTCTTCTTGCACAAATGAAAGCAAATTTCATATATCAATTGCCATTGCAAAATGGTTCTCCATCATAAAAAATCTTATGGTAAAAAAAGTATATATTATGAAACTGTTCATATATTATGAAATGCATGATTTTTAACGAATCTCTTTTCTTGTTTTGTGGTGACGGCATTTTTCTGTATGAAGTGATATCAATGGGGCTCGTAACAAAATACTTGTGGTTATTGAAATTAAAAGTAAAAAGATTGTCATTTTGTTAAAAAAAAAAAAAAACTCCACCAAATTTGGTATTTTTGTGATTTCTACATATTTTATCAAGGCTTAACCAAAAATTCCAATTAATGAACATCCTCAAAGATATCATTTTATATAATAATTAAGTTGAATTTGAATTTTAATACATGAACCATAAAAGTAAGAAAAGAAAATAAGGTTTGATTACTAAGTGGGCCAATCACATATTCACATCAGAAAAATAGAATTTGTCCTCCATTGTTGATTCGGAGTATTGTCTTCCATTCATCCATTGATTCTTGTATATAGTCTTTGCAATTTTTCCTATATTCTTCTCTTCGTATCATAGTTTAGAATATCTAGAAGTTAGGTAATTGATTCGTCGAGCTAGTTGAATTAAATCAAATGTAATTTTTGTAAACGTTTTTAAAATATCGAAGATTTTATGACTTATTTATGCAACCTACTTGCACATATTTTACCAAAAATATTCAATGAATTGGATTTTATTTTATTTTTTTATACATGGCTTTCTCTAATATATGCCCTAAAGGCACATATAAGAAGCATTAATTATGGAAATATTATCATAATTAAATGTAAAATATATTAATTATAAAAAGTATTTTCCAAAATTAATATATTTTACATTTTTCAATATGGAATATTCATAATTAATGAAGTTCATATTTAGTTATGATAATATTTCTTATATTTAATACTTCTTATATTATGTACTTAAAACACATACTACTAGAAAACCCTTTATGAATTTATGCCTTCATATTTAGTTTGTTTCTAAATACTTAAAGTAAGTCGTTAAGTCACACCCTTGCATAAATAAGTCATTAATAAGCGACTTTATCGGTTTCTTTCTGTGGGCTAATTTGAATAGTTATATCCCTTGTTTCAATCACATGACGTCATCTTCTAGATTCATTAAAATATTTGTATGGCCATATTCATGCTTCTTTCATCTTGTGTACGGAATTTAAAAAATTCAAGACTGAAGAGACCAATCAACTTGCACTTAATTACTTTGAATTCACGTAAATGATGGGTCAATAGAATTTCTCTCTTAATTTCCACATACTATAACATGAACTTATGACTTTAAGAAAAGAAGAATAGAATCTCTCTTTATTCCTTGATCACTTTTATCTTCATTTTTTCAAGCAGCTTACAACAATTGCAATGGCGAATTCATCTTTTGATCAATCCGTTGCTAACCATAAGCTCTCATACGATGTGTTCATAAGTTTTGGAGACGACAATATCATAAAAAACTTCGTGAATCATCTCTTCAGTGACTTCAAACGCAAAGGAATTCATGCTTTTAAAGAAGACATTCATCTTCTTAAAGGAGAAGACAGATCTCCACAAATCTACACAGCCATCGAACAATCAAGGTTTCTTTTAGTCATATTCTCCAAAAGCTTCACTTCTTCACCATCTTGTTTAAAGGAACTTGTAAAAATCCTCGAATGCAAGAACAAGAACCCCGAAAAACATCAAATCCGAATCATTTTTCACAATTTCAAGCTTAATGGAATCGAACCAGAGGTGTTTGAATGGAAAGAAGCTCTGACCATGGCTGCAAAGCTACCCGGATGGGATCTTGAAGATCTGGTCAACGGGTATGAGTCAAAGTTTATTGAAATGATCTCGAATCATATCTTCAATGAACTAAACAACGGACCATTACATGTTGGTGAGAATCTCATTGGATTACATTCCCGTGTAGACCGAATGAACTTGTTGGAATTCACCGAGTCAAATGACGTTCATATGATCGGAATATGTGGTTCCGAGGGAATCGGAAAGACTTCAATCGCGAAATCCATTTACAACCGATTGTATCTCCATTTCGAGAGTTCAAGCTTTTGTGAAGATGTGGACAAGTTTGTGAAACAAAACGGGATGATTCTGCTTCAAAGGCAAGTAATTGAGGATATTACTAAAGAAGAAATGAAAATAAGAAGTGTTGGTGAGGGAAGTAGTGTGATGAAACGGGTCATGGGTTCTAAAAGGGTCTTGTTGGTTCTTGATGGTGTGGATCATTTGGACCCGTTGGAATGTTTAGCGTGTTCTCAGTGTTGGTTTGGGGCGGGTAGTTTGATTGTGGTAACGGGTAAAGATCAACATTTGTTGGTTGCTCATGGAGTTGAAAAGATTTATGATGTTGAGGTTTTGGATTATGATGAAAGTATGGAACTTTTTTGTTTGTATGCATTTAAGCAAAAGGATCCTAAAGAGGAGTTTAAATGGCTTTGTGAACGAGTGGTTCGATATGTGAAGGGTCACCCGTTGGCTCTTAAAGTTTTGGGTTGTTTTCTTTTTGGGAAGACGGTTCGTGAATGGGAAAATGAATTAGATCGGTTTCGAATGTATCCGATTTATGACATTCAAGTGTTGATATCACGGTTTTCTTCAAACAAGAAATGAAAAGATTGCATTACTCGTGTTTGGTATTTTCTGTCTTCGCGAGGTTGAGGTTTTTTCTTTTGTGAGATAAAGGTAAATTGGTCATTTACTCTCGTACTTAAACTTTTTTCACCAATAATAACAACATACTTACTGACATGTTCAATGTGTTGTATTTGTTACATATTGATATTGCTATTATAGTAAAGAAATCCTACATGTTAGGAATGGCAAGTACGTTGCTATTATAGGTCACATACTAAGATGAAAGTATATATGTTGCTATTATGGTAAAGAAATGTGAATACATTGCTCTTTTTGTCGCTATATAAAGTAAAGTATGTTGTTATTTCTTACACTATACTCGATGGTCAAGCAAAAAAACCAAGTTTTGTTCTTGTTTCAAAACTGAAGTAGGTTTGCAAACAATTTCCTATTTATTGTATGTTGATATGCTTTCCCCTGTACAAACAAGTTGAAAATTATCAGTATTTACTCTTTTAGATCAAATCATTTAATTTTTGCAACGATCAATTTAAATATCACTACTGTGACTTGAGAGATAATTAATGTATGTTTCAAACAAAAAAATAATTCTAGTTACTAGTATGTTCATGTTGTTATACAATTTCATATGATTATTGCATATACAAAACTATATCAACTCTGAAATTCGCAATCTATCATGATTAGAGCACTTTGTATGGTGATTCAAGCAAATTCTTTTTCGAGAATACAATTTTAGAAACAACGAGGACTTGAATTACAAAATGTGTCATTCGCAGACCCCCCTTTCCAATTCACATATTAACTAAGAACGAATAAATACCAACGAGTTATGGTTGTATTAGTTATATCACTAATATGTATATTTATATGACTTATAACGTTGAGTTGTACTCTTAAACTTTAACATTATTTATTAAATGTGAAAA